AAAGAGAGAGACGACGATCTTGGCGAACGCGCGCGTCCCTTAAAACTCGGAGCAATCGGGGCGAGCCATTTCTGCGAGGACACGCCGGCCGGTCTCCATCGTCGTCGTCGGTTTCTGCGATCGAGCTGCTGACGGACAGCCACCGGAAGCGCGTCAGATTCGCGCAACAGCGCCGCGTTTACAAGGCAGACGAAGAGAGAAGAAGAGAGAGAGAGAAAGAGACAGCGAGAGCGAGACCGCACACACAGTCGTCGCCTATCCGCGGATCGAGCGGCTCGCAGTCGGCCAGTCGAGGCGTGAGGAAGCTAGCAGCGGAAAACAAAAGAAGGTGCCAACCAAGAGCCCAAGTCGAGGATCGATCTCGTCGTCCAGAAGTCATCTAAGAAGGACCTCGTGTGCTTTCTCGCCCCCGTGCTTTCGCCCCCTTTTTTTTCCGCGTGTGTGCATTCCGCGTGATCCGCACGCAATCCGCGTTCGATCGTCTCGTCCTTGTGTCCATCTGGGAGTCCCATCGCCAGGATCCAACGCCACGTATCGTCGTTCCTCAGCGCAGATACGTCTCATCGTGCGAGAAAAAAAAAAACAACGGACGCCTTCAGATCTCCTTCGCGATATAACCCGAAAACCGACTCTTGTCTCCAGCTATCGCGCGCACTTTTTTCCGTCATCGTTCTCCGCTCTCGCGATCCTCGTGATCCACGTCTCACCGCGTGTTCGCGCTCTCTCTCTCTTTTCCGCACCGGGTCCACGTAGACGGTGGCCCCGTGTCTACGACGAGGTCAGTACTCGGAGTCGGTCGTCCGTCGCGCGCACGCGCACCGTCTAATCCAAATCGTCATCGAGGCACCGATATACACGTGACCGAGGCCGCCGCGTACTCGGTGGAAGCCGGCATCATAGCGTCGAGAAGCGAGCAGCCAGCCACCATGTCCAAGCTCTACGTGGGCAATCTGCCGTCAGATTGCAACGAGAGCACTCTCAGGCAGCTCTTCCAGGAGCACAGCCTGGCGTGCACCACAATCCTGGTGAAGCGCGGTGGCTACGCCTTCGTCGACTGTGCCGATCAGTCCACGGCCGATCGGGCGATCGACAAGCTGAACGGTGAGTCGTTACGCTACATGAGATGAATCATTGCTTAGAGCTAAGCTTTGATGCTTTTATAATGCTTTTCACGTTGCTTTTCATCCTCACGACGACGACGACGACGACGATGATCAAGAGAAGGGAGACAAGAAGATCGAAGAGGAACGAGCGCCTACTTCGCTAATCATTTGTATACTAATAAAATGCTTTTAACGCTTTGCCACCTACGCTGCTGCTGCTTTCTCCCAAGCTTATGCCAGTTGTTGTTGAGAGCTTACAAACCTTTCCCATAAATATTAGTCGATATAAGCCAATATGCGCAAATTGTAGACTAATGGAGATGAAGATTCTAATCGCTTTTTAGATTCTATACGCATCCTTAAAATTTCTTTTTTATTATTTTCTCACTCTTGTCTAATTATCATCAGATGTCTCGCTGCTTATACAAAATCTTTTTATATTTAGCGCTGCTTGTCTGACACTTATCTCCTTTGCATTCGCGTTAAATATATGAGAGACAAAAGTGAGAATAATTGCATTGATACGCGCTGAAAACGAATCTTGATCTCCACGCTTTGTTTATACCGCTTCTTGCTAGATTGTAAGAACGTCGAGTGGATATAAAGATCTGCGTACAGCATGCTTCTAAATCATTAGAACGATTTTATCGAGCGTTTTTGAAGAGACGGCCGAAATCTCCCGGCAAGTCTCTCGAAAAATTTCTCCTTAAAATATATGTCACGTTGCCGTGTCACATCGATAGTTGACCGCCGATTGTTTTTTCTTTTCTTTTCTCGATAGAGAGCTTTGACATGAAATTGGATGACGTCCTCGAGAAACGTCTCTTTCGGTGTGTATGACACAAAATAACAACTCGATCTGACAAACGAAACTGTCAATATTATCAAAGATATCTCATGCGTTTTGAATCGAGAAATAATTGAATTTTCTAGTTGCTTTGATAAAAATATTAGTATTAGATAAAAGTATTCAAATAATTGCCGAATTCTAGTTACTCAGATAATAATATTAATAATATATCAAATTGTCCAAATGCGATATAAATTATTGGATAAATAAATAATTGAGACAATTTATTTCTACAACAACTAAAAAGTTTATATTAATGTACATGCTTCATACACACACACATGCAAACATAATTGGTGAAAAAAATAATTAGCAATTGAAATGTTTCATGCGTTTGATCATATTAATAATATAATAAATGGAAAGATAGTGACAGGAATATTTATTTAATATTGCGTTTGATAATCTCCAGTTTCGATTGTTGTCAGATTAAGACAGACGCGAGTTTAACGAGCATCCGGAATGAGAATATCGACCAAAAACCGCGCGGACAAACGCGTAATTGACCTCGTTATATCTATCGCACTTTCTAGGCTCAAGGATTCGGTTCAATTTGCGAATGAGATTACGGAATTTGCGAGAAAGAGATTCCGATTTCCATCGAAAAAAGGAGCGGCCTTTTGCACAAATTCCTTCTAATCTTACCGTGTGTTTTTCGGGGAGGTCCAGTATATCGACAAAAAATGTGATAATATCTTTTCTCGTTTTGAAGCCTACCGGTAAAATTGAATTGTTACAATTATCAGTGATAACATTGTCTCAAAAGTCGTTAGAAACGTCATCACAAATTAAACATGATTAATTCGAAATAAAACAATGATTAATTGAGAACATCCGGTGAATCAAGGATGACAAAGTAACACAAAATAATTTCCTTATAAGATTATATACAAATTTTTTAGAAAATTCAGATTCTTTATATATATATATATATTTTGGCTTTAACTTGGCTTCTGGATCAAGTCGGTGTCCCTTGTGAGAAGTATTTCGTTATTTTTCCCCAAGTTGCGGAACGAGAGTTCTGTCTGCTCAACTGGCGCGGAAAAATTATCCACGTGGTGAGACGGAGGCACGTATCGATAAAATGGCGCCAATTTTGATGCGACAAGGTCGCGTCTGTGTGCGATAAGTCACTGATAATGGCGCGCGTCGTCTCGATCGCTCCGATTACGAGACTGGCGTCTTCCCGCCAAAACCAAGCACGCATTCGAGGATTAGCGAAAGCGATAAAAAAACAGTTCTTTCCGGAAAGAGCATAAATACTGGCACCCGCCGAGAGAGAAGCATTTTCTTTCTATAAATTTTTAACAATTGCTCCTCAGGAAGCAATATCTCTCTCTCTTTCTCCTCAACAATACTGAAAAACTACTTGTATACCTGAAAGAGATTTCGTTATTTTATATATACATGCTATGCTTGAAAAAATCCTATTAATTTAAATCTGTGCAATGGGTCCGCTTTGGAATGTCTTGCTTTTTATTACCGTGAATTTTTAGAAGAAATCTGTAGAACAGATGTTCTTGCAAAAGCAAGAACGAATCGAGAATTCTGTGACTAAACCGCGTTTTTGGAAAGAGACTTTTATACTTTGACTTTTCTCTATCGAAATGCTTCTCTACACATGTGACGCGCGCAAAAATCATCAGCCAAATGGAAGTTAACTATGCGTGACAAGACGTTAGGAGGCTGAACGCGTCCGTTAATCGCTAGATTGTCGGCGACAATATTAGTCGAAGCTACAACTCTACTACATCACTCTCGCATTCGTTTGAAATTTTAAACGACATATATCGTATAATTTGATATAAAATGCTCGCGTCGAGAGTCATTGAAAAAAAAAAAAACTAAGTTTTTCCATCAAAACTGTTACACTATTTTCTGTTTATTCATCGAGAAATCCATTTATAAAACAGTGAACTGATAATAGTAGCGGCGCTTTACGAATAACCAGTTTAGAGAGACCTGAATAAAATTTCTAACGGAAAATGTGTGTATAGGAGAAAAAACATATTTCTCCTTAAAAGAATCTGTGTGTAATCTCGAAGAGGAAAAATTATATATTAAATAGATATCGCATACAACTCTTATATATATTTCGCGTCGAGATTTCTCTCCCGACTCATCTTGATATAATCCTGATCTAACGTTCCCGACTTATCCCGTCGATCGTGAGAATTTTGAACCGGCACTATGAGAGAGGAGTCACGCCCGGCGACGAGTGGTAATCGGTCGACGAGTTCTCCCGAAGAGAAGAAATGTGGTCAAGGTCGTGAATGGCGGCGCGCGCGCGCTTGACGTATGAAGCTCCCGCCGTCGCCCCCGCTCGTTCTTCTCCCCCCACCCCTTTTACCCCCTCGCTCCCTTCCTTCTCCGCCGCCTCCGCCGTCGCCGCCATCGCCGTCTTCTCCGAGGTTGAAATTTACATCGCGAATAGCCGCCTCCTCCGCTTCCTCCGCTTCGCCACCGCGCCGAAAAATCGACTAGTCGCGACTCGTGACGTTCCGCGGCGGCCATGCCTCTCTGATATTCATTCCATTGATTCCATTGACGGACTCCCCGTGAACGCTCCCATCTCGCGCCCATCTCGTCTCTTCCGAAACCGACACGTTGTATTCGATCCGATGTATATATATTGTCGAAAGAACAAGATTATAATACTTCGCAATCAATTATAATTACGATTATCATTGTTCAACACAATTTTTCACGGGCATTTTTTTACATAAAGAAAGAATCTTTAAAAAATTTTCGAGACAATTATTTGATTATAAAGCGTTTTAACATTGTGGGATTTTTCTTGGTAATATTTTTTTTGTATTTTTCATAATTCTGTGGGCAATATCGGGGACAAAATCAAGTGCATCGAATTTTATATTTCGAGGAAAGAAAAAAAAATGTAGAGATGCTAGAAATTTTTCAGAGAAAGACTTCTCTTAAAATATATCTCTATATACATGATCGTATTCTTTTGGCCGATATATCGAGCGGGCAAAAGGGCTGCTTAGAAGTGAGTTACAGGAAGGAGAGCCGGGACCGAGGTTCTCTTTGGAGCGATTCACGGAGCGAACGCTTCCTCTCTCTCTCCCTCTACGTTTCGTTAGCAATACACGGTCGTTGCTTCTGCAGCGTAAGGGCCGATCCTCGGATACAATGCCGCGCGAGGAACGTTACCGAGACGAGCCGAGGCTAGAACTAGTTTGGTGGGTTGTTGAGTTAGGTTTTAGAAGAGAACTCTACCAAAGAGCCGCGGTCTAATCGGGCTTTAGGCGGCTCGCACGTCGCTCTGTCTTGAGCGAACAAGTAAGCCGTGTGTTCGCATCGTTTTAGAGCGGTCGCCAGTACCGGAGCAAAGTATCTAGCTACCTGGGATTCGTATTTTGTTAGTGTCTGATAGCGTCATTCACCACCGATATTTTTAATATTTTATTCTAAAAAGATGCTGTAAATACTCCCCATTTTCAGATTCTTATGTTTAATCAAATTATGTACATGTATGATAATTATAAAGAATAATAATGATTAAGACATTTTTTGTCTTTAAAAGAAATTTATTGTATTGATTACGGTTAACAAGATATTCATAATTAAATATAAATTCTATTGCGAAAAAATTGTGAATTAGGCTTTTGAGGGTCAAATATTTTTCAATATTTTTATCTAAACTTGATGATTTTCCAGATTGTTCAATACAAATCTGATGTCGAAAATGACGAAATCAATCAAGCGGATGTCAAAATTTAAAAAACTCAGATTTTTTTATTGATTTTGTTACATTGAATTTATCAATTTTTATATCAAATTCGTATTTAGCCACCTAAAAAGCTTTTACGTTTGAATAAAAATATTGGAAAATATTTGGAAGATCTTCAATGGGATCTAATCTACAATTTTCCGCAATAGAATAGCCCACATTTAATCATGAATATCTTAACTACAATTATGATATAGTAAATTTTTTTGAAGATCGAAAGGCCTAACATAACATTTAATTTTGAAACAAAACTTTCAATGTGTCACATATAATAATTATATATATGTATAATTATAAATATAGAATAATTATATAATAGAATAATTATATATAGTATATTCAAAAAATATCGTCACAACTAATAACTTTAATATTATACTATTTGCGATACATTTTTATAGCATATATATACGAATTATTGCTTTCTATATATATCTCGTTATCGTTTATAATCACTCGAGAATATTTAATAATTCAAATAACGAAGATAGTCTCAGTCGTCTTTTAGGAATCTTCTTCCCTGAAATGCACGAAAAAGTTTTCGAGAATTTTCTCAAAGAGAAAGGTCAAAAGATTTTTCCCAAATTCTATGCCGGCCGCAGGCCACGCCATAAAGCTATGTCGTGGCCTGCATGTGCGTGCACAGCATGCGTCTTCCTCTTTCACAGCCGGCGTTCGTGCACGCCATTCTGCTCAGCACGATCCCGTAGGCATAAAGCCGAGCCGAAAGTCGGAGCCGGAGACGCTAACAGGAAGCTGCCACATTCTTCCATTCTCGCCGCCTCCTCTAGCACTTTCTTCTTTCCTTGTAACACACTGGCATGTACCGAATCGATCAACCGTTATCTTCTAACGTCTTCACTGTAAGATTTCTTACTCTTATCGGAGAGGTATGAGAATCAAAAATATCTGAGATAATTTTACACATATTCGATAACTATTTTATTCCACACTTATTGCTTTGCACGTGTATTCTATTTATTGTCGGAACTTTACTGACAGAGAGGAAATTCTTCCTTTCTTTTTTAGGTAAAAAATTTTTAGAGAAACCTAAAGAGCTCTTATTTCCCGACACAATATTCTATTTAAAATATATAATACTTCATTTAACTCTGTCATAAATACTTTTCCATTATTTAAATTTTTGCAGATCTTTTCGATAGCTACGTATCGAATGTTTATTTAAGATATGAACAAAGAGCATATTTACTAATTGGGAAAAAATTATTTATTTAATTTTTGAATGATTTAAAAATTTAGATTTCTTTAAAGGAAGAATATATTGTATATTATATAATATATAATTATATATATATATATAATATATATGTATCATATAAAATTATAATATAAAATATATATGTATATCTATTCTCTCCGATACTATATTGTTGCCGAGTGCGAGAATTTGCATCCACCAATGTAGAGCTAGAACGAGCAGATGCTCCTAGGAATACATTATTCACATCCGAAACTGCCTGTGTACTCGATATACTTCTTTTTCAAACGTCTTGAAGAGGCGTCCCATTTGCTCGAGATGTTTCACGTTTCCTTTTTCTCTCAAAATATGGCTTGAACGGCCGTCTCGATCATTTCGGACGTGTAGATTATAATTTTTCGACACGCCATATACACTCTTTTCATGAGTGTGTTAGAAAGTTAAAATATTGATAACAAGCATAACGTTCGAAAATATAAACACATTTATGATAACAAAAATATTCCGTAAGCGACAAAAAAAATTGTATACAAGCCATTCAGTCCAAAAGTTATTTGCACATTTTCGAAGCCACGATTAAGACGGATCACATCGTGTCAATCTGTTTGTATCCGTGTCCCGTGCTTAATTTTCGACATCGCGCAAAAAGTCGCATGATTCCCGGTAATACGTATCGTAATTCGACGCACCTCGCTTCGAAAGTAAGCCTCGCAAAGAAGCGAGGTGTGGGCTCCGAAAAAAGGTGCAATGACTCGGTATTATTTTTCTCTCGCACCTTTCTCTTCCCTCCCTCCCTCCACCCCCCCCCCCCCTTTTTCTTCCCCCCCCCCCCCCCCCCCCCCCCCCCCTGGGCGTACCAACCTAACGTAAGTTTATGCGGACCGAATAAACATGTCCGCGCGCGCAATTTCTTCCTTTTTTTGTAATCGCTGCCCGGCCCCGGCTTGATTTGTCGCGTGCCCGCCGCTCGGGGGGACCACCTGCCCCCGAAAAAAGTTACCTGTTAACAGTACACCGGTAACCGACACTGATGGGGCCTTACGATTCGCTTCTCCTCTTCGCACAAGCCCCAGGCAGACAGGCGTTCGGGCCTGCCAATTCTTGATGCTCTTTCCACGACGGACTGACATGAGCCGAAAGAGAGACGAAAACAGGACAGAGAGAGAGAGAGAGAGAGAGAGAGAGAAAGAGAGAGCGTCAATTATTATAATGGTTTTCCAGCGGACAACGAACGCGATCATTATTATCAACCGTTATAATCCACTGCACCTGATTGATACGTATCATTTATATTATATACCCAAAGAAATATGAAAATTCCTCTTTAAGATCAGCGCTTTTTGATCCTATTTAAATGCCACGTCTTTAAATTATTAGCGTTAAAATACGCGTTTTTGCGTGATTTTTTTTTTTTTTTGTGTCAAGAAACTCAATCTTCCTCTTTTATTTTGTCGAACGAACAAAACTCAAGTAAGGTAAGCTTTTTGTAAGGATTGTCTCAGCTCTTTTAATTCTAGACGCTTCTCAGATTCGCGAAAAATCTTACCTTGCGTCGCGTTTCTCAAAAATGACTTTGCCACGTATCATTATTCTCACAGCCATGCACGTTTTTGTTCAAGGCTCACGTAACAGAGAATTCTCCTCTCATATCGATTATAGTATTAACTAATAGTGTTGACTATACCCGAATATCGCTGATCTTGAATAGAGCTGTCTCGTACTTGTTGCTTCTCGCGCGCGATCACATCTGGAGACATATTTGTGTAAACTCTCTGAATCACGTTCTCGTCACGCTTTTATATCGTGCTCCGATATAATGCTCCGGAAACGCGTAATATATATACGAAACACATTTCGAGATCGTTGAACAATATTAACTTTCTATGTCGAAGAAATTGTGGAAAAGAGAATAATATTTTTTATTTAATTAATTATTTAGCAGAGAGTTATACTTGCGTTCAATTGACGGGATTTCGGAATTAGAGAAACGGAGCAGAATCAACGCGAGTAAAGCTTGAAAGAAACACCGGTGCGTTTGTAAAGAGGAAGGAAGTTGCTATCTTTAGCGCCACGAAGAGAGACTGCAGTAGCATGTGTGTATATATGTGTGTCTCTCTCTCTCTCTCTTTCTCTCTTCACTCGCGTCTTCTTCCCCATCATTTTCTACCATCACATAAAATGATCCCACTTCACGATAACCGCGCGGAAGCCGATAAAGGATTATTATCGACGATGTTTATGCAGCATTTTAAGTTTATCTTCTGTTAAAGAAAGGTTTGATAGAAGAAAATTGCAATAAATGTGTTTTTTTTTTCTCCAGAAACTCGTGCTCCAGATGTTCGATCTCCCGCTCGTTAACAGTCGTTCTCTATTTGTCGTTCTCAGTCTCTCCCTGCTCTTATCGCATTTATTTTAGGAACTTGTTCACGATTGCTTTATGAGAATTCAGTTTTAACTCAGAGCATCGCTTATTATATTAACTCGAGCGATACGTTACGTTTACATAATCTCTGATCCCAATATGATTTAATCGTACAACGGAATAAACATCTTCACATCTCTCTCTCTTCCTCCTTTTTTTATCATCTTAATTTGTTGTTTAAATATATTTATCTCTTAATACACGCATCCAATTCTAATTTTTTCTTGTTATTTTCAGGAGTAGTTTTATATATTTTCACGTATCTTGTTATATATTTTTTACTTCACATATCTCTTATCATATTTTCTGTGTCTTCGAAAACCTTTTTCTTAAAATACACATCTCTTTCTCTCTCTCTCTTTCTTTTTGCCTGGAAAGAGGACATATCTTTGTCTATCGTGACCTCCACCCGGCTCTGCTCGGAGAGACACGTGTTTGTTTTAGATACCCGGCCATTGACTTCCCGACAAACAGCGCGCCGGAATTTTCGGCATAACGAAAGCGCCTCGCGTCGCGATCGAAGTCGTTCCCTCCTGCTCTGTGTTTCTATTCGTCATCCATGCTGCCCACATATTTGTGGCATCCGATTCTATGAGTTTCAGTAAAAGGAGAGCCTTTTCAATGAAGCGAACTCCATTGAACCTCGCCCTTCAAATCAGCTTTTTCGTTATCGCGCATTGAGTTTCATATATACGTGATATCAATCATTTGATATCAGTAAAAACAGTATATTCGTCAATCAAAGATAAATAATTTTTTTTAGGAAAAAGGCAGGTTATTTTATCTTTCATACAATGCCATGCAAGAGTTTCTAAAGATAAAACAATTATTATTTAATTATATTATAACGAAAAATATTAAATAAGAGAATATTTCAAAACTTATTATAAACTTATTTTGGGTACATAAACATAAATAGTATAGAAAATAATATCGTCGAATAATCAACGTAGGAAAATTTCAGAGAGGCGCGTCAACCGAGAGCGGTTTCGTCCGAGTGTTGTCACGAATTTCGACGAGAATTTTGCGAAATTATTGAGAAATCGAGATAGCATTCCGGCCGTTTCGAGTGTCCCGTTAACTCTTAATCACCGCTCATCGACGACAAGATCAGTCAATTAGCATCCCGAGTAATCTCAATGAATTCAGAACGAACAACAAATTTGTAAAACTGAGAATGAGAATATCCAGCCAGCGTGATCTTTTTTTACCCTCAAACAACGATGATAAATTTTCTACAAAATCTGAGATTTATTTTTTTAAATTTAAATTTTGAAACCGCGGGTTGTGTCAAAAATGTCGACAGAAATTTCCGTCACATCGGACCTTCTTCAAAATGTTAAGAGAGACGAAGCGATCTTTATGTGAGGAAGTGAGCTACCTCAGTTAATTTTGCGCACCTAGAAAATTTTTGCTGTGGTTGCAATACCACTTTTTTGAGTGTACAAAGGGATCTCGTTGCTTGATTGATCCTATTTGTGCAGATATCAGTTTGACAGAAATTTCATTTAGGACTTAATGGCCGCAGTATTGAAAGGCATTGAAAGATCGCGATAAATGATAAGAGTTACGAGCGGGTTAAGGACGAAAGAAAGAAAGAGAGAAAGGCGGAGAACCGGCCCACGTGCGCGTAATTGTCAGGTACACGCGGAGAGGAAACCCGAGTCTTTCGACAGGTGTCAATGAACCGGTCAACGACGTATTCATCGTCGAGGATAAGCGACGACGAGGCTGCGATCGAGCCTCGAAGTGGAGGGAGAGAACAAAAAAAAAAAAAAAAAAAAGAAAAATACGAGCGAGGCTCGCGCCTTCGCACCTGCCTCTCGGTTGTGCGAGCCAAACTCACGGTGATTTTGTAGCTCGCGAGCAGGCGAACGTGTCACCGAATACAATTCCGAAAGATCCGATTTTCCGCGCAAGAGAAAGAGAAAGAGAGACGATTAAAATTTGTCCAAGGCCGCAATAGATAGGAAATACAAAATATAAGAAAGACTTATTCTTCAGAGAGAAAAAAAAATATTTAATATATAAGCCACACACAAAAGGATATAATATGAAGCGCGAAGAAATTCTACTTTTAATAGATTTACAAAAAAGAAATACCGATGTTTATTCTATAATCTATAACATGTGTTCATTCATATTGCAAACGGGAAAGGGACACTTGTATGTGTAATCGAAGCTGCGCTGCCTTTTCACGCGTATTTTGTGATTTCACGCAAAGAGGGAGACGAGAAGAGTAAGAATTATCTCCCGACCTGTGTATTCGGGAAAATTACGATTTCAAGAGATCTTACGAGTCTCGAGCGTAAAATGGACCCCTCCGATGTGAACCGAAAAATCTTAATAATTAGATATGCTCCTTTTTTCCCCAAAAATATATCTTATTCAAATACGAGCAGGTATAAAAATCACAATACATAATTGTAGCATTATATTTTATTATAGTATATAATTATTATATATATACATATATATTCAAAATTCAGAGAAGAAAAAACAATGAAAGAAAGATTTTTAATATTTAGAAATATAAATAACATTTCATTGTCATGTTTCATAATTTATATCATTATTGCTTCATTCTTATTTTCGTTCATATACATATCTGTTTCACGCTTATTAAGCTTATACGCATACTAATCTGTATCCCGTTTATATTAAATACAAAATTTTATCTTATTAATTCTATAACACGCGATTCGAAAGAGGAGAAATACAATGGGAACGACTTTTGCCTTAGGGCGAGAAGCATGATATCAATGATGAAAGAAGAAACGATTTGCGTCGCGATACTCTCGATCTCTCCGAAAAACGGCGACATTCTTTCCGCGTCGAATCGAACGTGAGTCACGTAGACTTTATCGAGTCGTAATTCAATCCCCGGTTGACGATAAGAGAACGAGCTGGGTGCCCTGAGAAATGTACGAAAATAAGAATTACGGATAGGTTTGTGGGGGCAACCGGCCAAAATCCAACAATACGTACGCAATCTATATGAATTTTTCGAATCGTGTGTGAAATGATACTGTTTACATTATAATTCCGGCAATTTATTATACAACCTATGGGAGTATATCACACATTCGATAAAATCTTGAGTAAAAAATTCGCAAAAAATAGCAATTTTTGTATATAATCCTTCATGATAAAATATGTATCATATATAACTATCGATGATAACAAAGCAAACCTAAGTAATGATAATCTTAAAAACATGTTAAAATAAATGAAAGCATTATCCCCCCCCCCTCCCTCCCCAGTAATCACGCTTGGAAAATCGCGTGATCTCGTATCTCGCAGATAAGCATTAAAAACTTCGCGGTGTTCATTACTCGCCTAATTATAGATCGAAGATACGTAACTTCGATGTCTCGTACGCGTTGCCGTAATTCGAGATAAAACTTGAAGAATTGACTTATTCGTCGGCATATCTCGTACACTCGAATTATCGCAATATCGAGAGGTGATGCTGAGTGTAAGAGGGCTGTATTTCTTTCTCAAATACGCGGGGGAGGAAGACGGCAGTCAGCGCCGTCGAGAAAAATTACATCGGCACACCGCCATTAATCTCCGAACGAGCGGATATTATTTTAATTCTCAAGTCTCGAGCCGAGTCTCTTCCCAGAAACGCCGGCCTTTGTCCCAGCCGGCTGCCCAGAAAGAAAAGTGACCGAGTGATTTAATCTACGAACGAACGAACATAGCGCGACCCTGGACTCCTCTCTCTCCCTCTCTCTCTCTCTTTCTCTCTCGTTGTGCGTGCGTTTCCTCCTTCTCTCCTCTCTCAGCCTCGTCTGCTCGTCCCGTTGCCGAGATTCGTTTTTGCTCGCCGAATTTGCGACGGCGGCCACCGCATGCTCGGTGCTGCTTCTCGGGAAAGTCGCGAGAGATGAGAGCTTTCTCCGATTATTAACGATCTCCGGTATACGTAATATTGAAGTTATGTCGAGGAATACCGCTCGAACTCGGTATATAAAGTTCAATTTTTTTACACATACATATATATTATAAATTTATATGAAAATTAAAAAATTTATTGGGAACGAAATAATTTTATCTAATTATCTAATTATAATTAATATTAGAGAGACACAGTATATATGTATAATCATTGAATTTTTCGCGTAGGAAAAGAGGTCAGATTTCCTGATGTTTTTAAAATTTGTTATCGTATAATCAATCGAACTGCAGGAAATGGCGTTGTGTATATACCGCATCTGCCATTTCCGTTCTCAATGATCGTAAGGCATCGCCGGACGGACAGATAAGAAGTGAAATCTGGCGTTCGAAAAAATCTGGCGAGGCATTTTATTCTACATTCATATCAAATGAAAGGATTTCGAAAAGCCAAGAGAAAAAAAAAGAGAGAAACACGCGGACGCGCGCGCGCGTATTGCGTGCATATGTGCGTGTACGCGCTTGCCTTCCCTTCATTTTCTTGCTTACGCGGTACGGTCGTGAAACGCACGCGGCCCAACTTCGTAACGGCCCGAATCTCTGAACTTTGTACGCCGTCCAGATATAATGGCCGTTATCTCTGCGCCTCCGCGCGTAGCTTTCATTGACAAACGCGCTTTGAAAATCGCGAGCGGATCCGTGGAATCTGAAAATGCGTATCATCTCCTAATATTGCAAACAGCAGATAGATGCAATTAATGGAATAATAAAAAAAAATAATATCTTCAATTTTGTTTAATTTTATTAATAAACTGTTTTATTTTTATAACACACAGTTTATAAGTAAAAAAGAAATTTTATATAAATAAGTAAAATATATATATATATATTTTTTTTTCATATACATATATGTATATATAAAACTCTTCTTCAATTAAAAAAAATTATTTCTGTTTTTATTAGAGGAGAAAAAATATGTATATCAAAAATGAAACATTTGAAATTATATACTGACTTGGAGTAAATAAAGTAAAGCTGCGTTACTTTAATATGTGATATATAGTAATACGTGATAAAGTTTCTTTTATTTCCTTAAAGAAGAACTTAAAAATAGCATCAATATGGTTACCAAGAATCTGTCGCAAATGATGATTAGATTACGATTGACAAACTGTTTTTTTTTTTTTTTGATACGCGGTGCACTAATTCCATCAAGAAGTAACGCATCGTTTTCGACCAATGCAATTCGCAATATCGTAATTAATGCAAACGATGCAATGTTCTTCACATTACGATTTATCTCATGACGCAACACCGCTTTTAATTTCATTAAAATTAATCGTTTACAAAAGTATCGTTCTCTCGACCGTTGCACTTCAATAGGAAAATATTCTATTAGAGAAATGTATGGCATAAAAAGTAGCTTATATTATAATCGAACTTTTTTTCTTTATTTTAAAAGCAACTTTTCACGAAGGAAAAAATTTATCTTAGAATCTAAAATCTAATTTTTTTCTTTTTGGTTATAAAACAAAATTTTGTGTATTTGGCATCCACATTTTTACTTTGATTTAATGAATAATATACTTTTTAGGAATGCATAATATTATTAATAGCAATATTTTTAATTCCAGATATTTAATATTTACTATCCTCCTCATAGTCAAAAAAAGCATAATTCAATTAAAGTAATAATATAACTGACTCTAAATTTCGCTTCGTTAATTTGTAAATATTTAAGGAAAAAGTGAGAAAAAATCGGCATTTTGAAAATTTCAAGTTTAAATGTCATAATTAACACAGCGTCGAATCGTGCACTAATAACTCAATATATTGAACATGAAACCGGACTATCGGAACTATATATGTTCGATAATACTTTTGCTGCTTGTGTGAACCGGATGCAGCTCGTTTTTGATCGATAGAACCAAGGACGACCCGTCGTCAGACTCGCGCGTTTAAAACATTCTAAATTTGCGTTGCACGAGCTAGGGATCCGTCCAATCTTTTTTTTTTCCTCGATACTAAATTTAATCGAGCATCTTAAAATTTTTTTATAACTTATTTTTAAATTATGTGTGATTAACAAATATAATATCAAAGAACTAATAAACTACATCTTGATTTATATTTCATCATATTTTATAATCTCAGCGAATTAGAATATAAAAATTTATGTTTTGTAATGAATCATATATTATTTATATAATCGTGAAAAGAAAGTGAAAAGCGTGTGCAACCCTACATGCATAAGTAACTACGGAAGAGGAAGTAATTAGCCGAAAGCAGAATATAATTAACTTAGTAAACCACGGCGTATCCATATGCCACATTACATATTAAACGTATAAATATCAATCCACGTTTATTCACATAACTATCCTGCGTCTCAACTAATAGAGAGTAGGTTTTCTTAGAGAACATAAATAATGTAATTTAAAAAAAAAAAAACATATATGAGCGATTAAAAATGTCGAAAGTATTGCTGGAGCATAAAAAACATAAATGCCTTTTATAAGGTATCTGAAGAGAGTCACACACATAGATGCATGTAATATATACATATATGCATACAAAAAGATATATGATGTATATAATATTGTATAATAAACTGTTGAAATTCGTCAGTATTATAACGAAGTGGAGGATCGTTCCAAAGTAATTAGTCCTGTTGTTGAGAGCGAAACATCTTGCGTTTGGCGCGCTTTTCTGCCGGATTCCCAGTCAGGACCTATCTTAACGTGCGTGGGCCCGGCTCGCTTCATTCGGCAAACTAACCTACCCGTCTAAGTAATCCATTGT